AGTAGCCTATCCCAGGGCGTGTGCCCTGTTGGTCCAACAGGTTCTCCCTGCCTTCACAGGAGTTAGCATGTCCTTCAACTTGTCTTGCCAAGTTACAAACTAAAGCGCCTGACCCACAGTTAGAGAATCTAAGTGTGAAAAGTACAGATGGTGTAGACAAGGTGATCATGTGCTGTGTGAATACAGGGGATCAACTTCATTCCCTTTGGTGGGCCTTGACTCCATTTCTAAAGTTTCTTTCTACCCAAATATTCAACATTACTGTCTAAAGCAGCATACTCTGCAACAGGATGTGGAATTGAAGTGCTGAGGGAGAGCTGGGATTTAGCCCCGTCATAGAGCGCTCGCCTAGCACACATCAGACTCTGGGTTTGGTCTTCAGCATGGCAAAATAATTAATTAATTAAAACCAGAAAATGCATGGTTATGTAAAATTCTGTCTGGTCCTGCAATCAAGCTAAGAATCTTACTCTCATCCAAATATTCTCTTTTGGAACTTCAATAGGGAGCGTGAGTTCTTTCCCAACTAGTTAAAACCTGCCTGATAGGAGCAGAGCCTCTGGCTCCCAGCGGCTCCATGGGGGAAGCCTTGTATTTGCCGACAGATAACATCCTAAGTGATGATGGAGCCTGACCTCTGGGGCCAGATCTGAGAACCAGGCATGGAGGCTGGAGCCTGGAGCCTGCCCTCAGCTTGATTCCCCCCCAGTACCCAGAGTGATACTATTTTAATCTCAGATGAGTTGGGTTCTAATCCTAACTGCCATCTGGAAGGAGGAGCCAGGGAGGTTGCTTATCTTCTTCGAGCCTCGAACCTCGGTTGTCTCATCTGTAAGTTGGGAAAGAGCAGTCCTACCTCACCTGCAGGCTATCTAGAGGATAAATTTCAGCAAAAATGCAGAAGGGCTTTGTGATACGCTCTAGATGCCAGCTTTCCCCACTGCCAGCATTATATCCTTGCTCATTCCTGTTCCTGCAGCACTTAGGATAGCACCTGCCACTCACGTGTGGGGCAGGAAGCTGTTGTGGTAGCCAGCCAGCCTCACATGTATTTTGGGATAGGAAAAATGTATGTTGTCCCAAATAAGCTAACTTATTTGGCTAATGGTGTTACCAACTGGCAATGATTAAAATTTGGAGTCATATGTACTTTGGAGACCCCAAGGGCCAGGCTCTTACCCCTAGTTCTACCATGGCAGACTGACCACAGAGGGAATATTCATGGAGACTCCTGGGGTTACTCCTGCCATACTGACCCCAATATTCTGTGGTTCTACTCAAGAAGGCATGTAAGGGAGTGAAAATGAACAAGATTGATATTGTCAGAACCCACTGACAATCTGTAATTCCTGGTACAGCAGAAATGCTTAAAAAAAGACACACTCACATTCAGTAGAAAATGAGCACTTTCTTTTTCTCTCCTTTTATACAGCATTGTTAATTAAAACAAGGGAAAAGTAAAAACATCCTTTCGGCAGCTTAATCCTTTTAAGCATGGATAAACATTCTCAGGAAAACTTTGTTTATGGTCACAGTGCTCCGCACTTCTTATCATTTAACTTGTGGTTAGTTATTCCCAGGCAAAAACATATATATAAATTTTACACTTGGCAGAACATTCTTTTATCTTCTTAAGACAGCAACAAGGACACAGTTCAAAGAGTTCATACTTTCTCACAGAACTCCTTGTTTTGCTAAGCACAGCAAAACTTAACTGTTTGTGTGCGTGAGCACACATGACATACTTATTTATTTTTTTAATTTATTGAGCTGTAGTTCGTGTATCATAAAGTTGAACATTTAAAAATGTACAGTTCAGTGGTTTTGAGTATAGCCACAGAGTTGTGCAACTATTATCGATGACTGATTCCAGAAGATTTTCATCATCCTTAAAAGAAACCCATGAGGGCTGGGTTGTGGCTCAGTGGTAGAGCACTTGCCTAGCATGTATAAGGCCCTGAGTTCTATCCTCAGCACCGCATAAAAATAATGTGAGTTGGGCTGAGTTGTGACTCAGAGGTAGAGCGCTTGCCTGGCACATTCGAGGCTCTGGGCTCAATCCTTAGCACCTCATACAAATAAAATGAAGAAGCCCATGAAGAGCAGTCAGAGTTCTACCCCTGACCCCCACAACCCTAGGCAGCCACACACTACTTTCTGTCTGGCTTTGTCATGGTCATTTCATATCAGTGGAATCATATGCAGATAGCCTTTTGTTTCTGGCTCTTCATGCAGCAGTGGTATTTTCAAGGCCCATCTGTGTTGTCGTGTTTTGTGCTTCATTCCTTCCTGTGGCTGAATCTCAGTCTACTGTGGATGGATCACGTTGTTTAATCGTTCACATGTCGATGGACGTTTGAATTGTTTGCATTTTTTGGCTGTTATGAATGAGCTTCTGCATTCTTGTACAGATTTTTTTTTTTTTTTTTTTCGGTACTTGGCGGACACAACATCTTTGTTTGTATGTGGTGCTGAGGATCGAACTCGGGCCGCATACATGCCAGGCGAGTGCGCTACCGCTTGAGCCACATCCCCAGCCTTCTTGTACAGATTTTTGTATAGACATATGTCTTTAATTTTCTCGAGTAGTTGCCTAAGAGTAGCATTACTGGGTCATATGGTAGTTCTATGTTTCATGTTTTGAAGAAATGTCAGAAGGTCGTCCAAAGTGGCTGTGCCATTTTACATTCCTACCAAGACTATACTACTTACTTTAAAAAGTAAATCATTACGGGGGCTGGGTTGTGGCTCAGTGGTAGAGCACTTACCTAGCATGTGTGAGGCACTGGGTTCAATCTCCAGCACAACATCTACAAAAAAAAAAAGTAAATCATTAAAAAATTATTTACAAGACTCTGAGTTCAATCCCCAGCACCACACACACACACCAAAAAAACAAACAAACAAACAAAACCTGTTCCCTAACACTGGGGCTCCAGACTTGCCAAGAACACACTTGCAGTGCGACTATCAGCTTGCCAGCCTGTCCACCCCACTGTGCCAAGAGCCACTGAGAACATGGGGCTTCAACCCTCTTTGGACAAGACCTTGTTAGGCAGACTCAGTGGCACGTGCCTGTAATCCAAGCTACTTGGGAGGCTGAGGCAAGAGGATCACAAGTTCTAGGTCACCCTCCACAACTTAGAACCTGTCTCAACATAAAAATTCAAAAGGACCAGGTGTGTAGGTCTGGGGTTGTGGCTCAGTGGTAGAGAGCTTGCCTGGCATGTGTGAGGCATTGGGTTTGATTCTCAGCACCACATATAAAAATAAACAAAATAAAGGTCCATTGACAAGATATTTTTGAGAAACTAAAAAATAAAAAGGACCAGGTGTATAGCTCAGGGGTAAAGTGCTTGCCTAGCATCTGTGAGGCCCTGTGTTGCATCCCCAGCACCACAGATAGAAAAGAAAAAGAGGAGAGAAGGAGAACTTGTTTTGTCAAGCATCTGAAAGGATGCATGCTGGGCAGTGCTTGGACAGAGTTTCTCCTTTGTCCCCTACTTGCATGGACCAGGACTATCGTGCTTTAGGAAGTGAGCTTGTTTTTTGAGATCTGAAACCTAATTCCTAAAATCTGTTGATAGGGTGCTCCTGCCAGTGTTGTCGTCCGTGGTGCTTTGCCTCACGGGCTCTCTCCCCAATCAAGAGGCAGAAGGCCAAATACTCTGCCTGGTGGGTTAGAGACTAGAACCAGGCACTTCTGCCTTGATGGCATGGTGGGCCCTGGCTCATCAGGCTGGGCATTGCTGCCTGAGGTTCTCATGATCCTCTGTCTAAAGATTGGAAGACGGGGAGTAGAAAATAAACCCGTCTTTTCCCACCCTCCCCTGCAGAGAAAAGAAGTGCTGGGAATGCCATCCGGAGCTCCCTGAAGTCCGAAGAACAGAAGATCAAAGACGCCAGGAGAGGTCCCCTGGCACCTTTTCCAAACCAAAAATCTGAAGCAGCAGAACCTCCAAAAACTCCAACCTCGACTTGTGATTCTACCAATGCAGCCATTGCCAAGCAGGCCCTGAAAAAGCCCCTCAAGGGAAAACAGACCCCTCGGAAAAAGTAAGTCCCCTCGATCTCTCCTCCCAGAGCAGAGCAGTTTGACTCCTGTGACTGCCAGAAGGCTGCTTGGGTGCCCACTGGGGTTCAGCATTCCATCTTCTCAGCCCCTATCGGGCAGAGGCTCAGACCTCTGAGGCCTCATCCTGGTGTCCTTGTATGCCAGCACCTCAGTGTGGCCTGAGCGGACAAGGCCTGCTCTGCCGTCCCTCCCTGATGAGAATAGACAGTCTGTCCTTTGTCTCTGAGGCCCCCCCGGGGCAGGTGAGCTGATGTGCCATCAGGCCCCAGTGGGCAGAGGTGTTAGGGACATTGTGTCCAAGTTGCCACCTCTTAAGGAGCTGTATGGGTGTGGTTTCAGGCCTGATGGTTGCTTTCTCCTCTTCTCACCCAGAGCTCAAGGAAAAACGCAACAGAATCGCAAACTCACGGACTTCTACCCTGTCCGGAGGAGCTCCAGGAAGAGCAAGGCCGAGCTGCAGGTAGAGTTGGGTGGTGTGGCCCCCCCCCCCGGGCCTGGGCTTCGTGCTGTCGTATTGGGCCAGGCCTTTTGTCTCTCTGGAGCTGGTTTTGCCCTCCCTGTAGCAGGGGTCACCAAGAGCTTGCTTCGGTCATCGGGGGCTGCAGTTGGGAGGCTTCTGTGAAGAAGCTCAACCTATATCATAGGGCATAGAAAGCCAGGTGTTCTTGTCAGGGTGGCTTTTCCAGGACTTTGGCAGAGCCATTTGGAGCTAGAATTGTGGGAAAGGCCACCTCTTCTTTCAGAGACTTGCCCTATTTGTAATCTAAAAGTTTCCATGTTGTTGTTCAGGATAGTGAAGAGCAGCGGTTAGAACCATTTCCTGATTGTGCAATCACAGGTCGCTCACCTTCCCTGCCACGCACTCCTATCTGTAGAATGAGGAGATAAAATAGTGCCTGGCATGGTTGGTGAGGGGAATAAAGAAATGGGTTCAGATGTGGGGGACACAGGACTGTGCCCGGCCCACAGTGAGGCCAGTTAACTGTGACTATCGTCCCCATTGCTTCCCAGCAAGCTGAGAACATGCAGAATGAGTAGAGAACTCAGGCAGAAAGGCCAGGCAGCCTGTGGCGGCTACACCCGCATGTGCCATGCAGGGGGCTGCAGTGTCCTGTGTGCTGCAGTGGGCGTGGCCACTGCCTTCCTGTTCTGGAACTGCAGGGTGTGGCCGGGCCCCAACACACAGACACACACACCCGGACTCCCCTCCCACAGCCCTCTCGACCTGAGTGCTCAGGATCACCTTCCTGCACAAGGAGGGAGCCTAGCTGGGCAGTATCTCTGCCTCAACCTTTCCAGACTCCTCTAGCACGTGTTATGTTAAATCTGCAAATGTAGATACACAGATCTACCATGCTTTTACTTTTAATTGAGGGAGCTTTATTTTAAAAAAAGAAAGAAAGAAATTAAAACAGGGTCCATTTTTCTAACCCCAGAGAACTACTTTGGCTTTATTTTTGGAGAATGGCAGTTTCTTTTGGCCAAGAAGGAGCTGTTATAAAAGAGGCCAGCAGTGGGAGGCTGTGCTTGTCACTGCAAAATGCAGGTGATGCAGAGGGAGGGCGGGGCCTGCCCAGCGGACTCCTCCCAGCCAAGGCTGGAGCTGCAGGCTCAGGAGCGCTGGGGCTCGGGTCCAGGCAGCTGAGTTCACCTAGTTGTACTAGGAAGCCAGGTTCTTGGGTCTGGAGGAGAGAGGAACGCAGTGGGGTCTGCTCAGTCTTGGAGTATAGGCGGGGGAGGGAAGGTGCATGTGCTTCTCAGAGCTTGGGCTGCAGACACAAAAAGCTCATTTGGGGACAGACCAGGAGCCAGTTGTGAGCAACAGCTGTGCTGTGCCCTTCCCTATGTGTGTGGGCTCTGTCGAGTGAATGCTGGGCTGTTGCTGCCCATGGCAGTGAGCCTGCTGCTGGCCAGGGATGAGGCTGTTTCTGTCCCAGCCAACGTGGCTGCTGTGGGCCTGGGTGTGTACTCTCTTGAGTGTGCAGAGGAAACCCCAGGGTGTGGCCAGTGGGGCTTGTCTGAGCGGTAAAGTTGGTCTGACCTTGCTGCCCTCAAGGCCAGCACGAACTGGGCCCAGGCTGGGGTCCGGGTAGGTGGGAGTGAAACTGAAATGAAAACCTCTGAGACATTTCACTGAGCTTGGAGATAAAGTGGGGGATGGGTAGCTGGGTCCAGGGTCCAAGCCAAGGCAGGAGAGAGGAATCAGGCTGCAGGATTTGAACTCGATGGGTCCTAAAGGTTGGCTGGCCTGGGTGTGGACAACATGGCAGCCACACTGGGTTGCGAGCTCCACCTTTTGGCAGCCCTTTCTAATTCCCAAACAGCCCCAGGGCTGGACCTGTGGTGTTGTTGCCGATCCTTCCCTGGCACTGTTAAAGGCGTCTGCTTCTGTCCACAAGCCCCCCTCACCCTCACTCAGGCCCTGCCAACCCCACTCCATGTACTGGAGGCCAGCTTGTATTCTGCCAGAACTCTCCTTAGGAAGCCCAGAACTAACTGCTTGCAGGCCTTGGGCTTCTGGCCTTGAACCAGATTCCAACTCCCTGGCTCTGTGTTCAGGGCATCCAGCTGCTCGGGTCTTCTAGGCCACGTTCAGTGTCAGCAGGAAAATTGCAGTTACCTGTCCCCGGTTTTCCATGCCTGCTCCCATGTATGTGGCCCCCGTCCCTCATCTGTACACTTTAGCCATCACTACGAGTAAGGTTCATGTGGTTGCTAAAGGGGTTTGTTTGCTCTATCTCCAGGTCCTAGTCAGGATTCTCCAGTGGGAACAGGGTAGGCTCCTGTGCTCCTGGAGCTTACATTCAGGTGAAGAATGAGTAGCAATTTAAAAAGACCATTGTGCTAAGGACAGTAGTACAAGCCTGTAATCCCAGCCCCTCGGGAAGCTGGGACAGGAGGATTACAAGTTGGAGAACAGCTATGATAACTTAGTGAGACCCTGTCTCAAAATAAAAATCAAAAAGGGGCTCCGGAGGCCTGGGGCTGTAGCTCAGTGGTAGAACGCTTGCCTAGCATGTGTGAGGCACTGGGTTCAATCCTTAGAACTATATAAAAATAAACAAATAAACTAAAGGCATTCTGTTCATCTATAACTACAAAAAAAAAATTAAAAGAAAAATGGCTAGAGCTCTAGCTCAGTGGTAGAGGACCCCTGGGTTCAAGTCCCAGGACCACAATACATTTTTTTAAAAGGACAATGAATGCAAAGCCCCATGGCAGGAGCAAGCTTAGCCTTGGAGGAGCATCTGTGAGGCTGTGGTGGGCTCAGGGTAGGCGGGCATAGGGGCTGGGAGGGAGATCTGGATCTTGCAGAACCTTCCAGACCACAGAAGAAAGTCTGGGTTTTATCCCAGTAGCAGTAGAACCTTTGTTTTTGTTTAAATGAACTTTTAATTTTGTAATTATTTTAGATTTATAGAAAAGTTGCAAAGATAGTACAGAGAGTCCCCACAGAGGCTTTGCCTGGCTTCTCATTGTTAACATTTTTTGTTACTCTGGTAAATTTGTCACAACTAAGGAGCCAGCTCTGGGATGTGAGTGCCTACTCTGAAGTCAACACTGCAGTGGCCGATCTCTTCGACCTTTTCAAAAGACTGCTCCCGCTGCTGAGTGCAGAATGGGGTGTGGGTTGGCAGAGTGACAGCCAGGAGACCAGCAAGGTGTGGCTTGAGTGGAAAGGAGGCAGAGACCTGTCCCATTCATCAGTGTCCCCAACACATCACAGTGTCTGGCCCACTGCAGGTGTAGAGAGCTGGTTCAGGGAGAGCTGGTCTCTGCTGTCCTGTTAGGCAGAGGTCTGCTGCTGCACTGCGCTGGCCTGAGGCTGCTAGTCGGACTTCACGTAGTCCCTTTTGTTCCATAGTGTCTATGCACTGAGAGCAGCAGGGCCCAGCTCCATAGGAAAAGGGAGATGATAGCTTTGCGCAGTGGCAGTATCGTAGCCAATGAGGTTTATCTGAGGCACGATTATTGCTAATTATTGCTAATTGGAAAAAGGAGATGGGAGTGTCCACCCTTCCAGCTTCTCCACTCACGGCCATGTGGACTCTCTGGCGGGGATGCCCCTTGTCCATGGCCGTGGCTCCTGGGGAGATGCAGAGTTCTGTGGGCCTCACAGAGGTGATGGGTGGGGAAGGGTATAGAGCACATGTGTCCTCTAAAGGGCTCAGCCTCTAACCTCCTACTGTAATTATGTATGGAGTTAGACTCCTGCTATACGCCGAGAAGAACATATCTAGAAGGCTCTGTGTTAGCTTTCTGTTACTGCATCAGACACCCAAGATGGTCAGCATATAGTGTGATTTTCTGTTTTTACCTCATAGTTTAGAGGTTTCAATCCATGACCCCCATGGCTTTGGGTTAGCCAGCATGTCACAGAGCAAGTATGTGACAGCAAAACCACTCCCCTTATAGCCAGGAAGAAGAGAGGCAGAGGAAGGACTGAGGTCCTACTGTGCCCTTCAAGAGCATGTCCCCAGTGACCAGAAGACCCTTACTAGCTCCTACTTTCTCAGGGTTTCACTGCCCCCCAGTAGTGCCACACTGGGGACCACACCTTTAACACATGGGCCTTTGGGACACTTAAGATCCAAGACATGACAGACCCCCTCTGCCCTTGGGCCAGCACTGGGTCCCTCCTGCTCCAGGTGAAGCTGGTTCCAGGTGACAGTTGTCCGCAACAGATGATGATGAAGAAAGGACGGTGCTTGGGGCTTGGGCAGCACTGGGGACCCATGTCACAGAGACCAGCCATGGCCCTGTGATGTAGCCTAGAGTAAATGCTAAAACTGCTCTTTTCTTCTCCACCCAGTCTGAAGAAAGGAAGAGAATAGATGAGCTGATTGAAAGTGGGAAGGAAGAAGGCATGAAGGTAAGGGTGGTCATACGTGCTGGGCTCACGGGGTTCTGTCCTCCTTCCCGGTGCCCCAGGACTGTGGCTGGCAGCCCTGTTGCCTTAATTGAGGTGTCACTGACAAGTCAGATCAAAAAGCCAGGTAGGAAAACTGTTGTATGAAGGGAGCATGGATGGGCTTCGTATGTAAATGTTATCCTGAGAAACTTCTTAAAAAATTGTAAAATACCCATAACATTTATTATTTAAACTAATCCCAGCTATTCACGAGGCTGAGGCAGGAGGGTGGCAAATCTGAGGCTAGCCTGAGCAATATAGTGAGACCGTGTCTTTAAAAAAAAAAAAAAAAAAAAGCATGGGGATATGGCTCAGTGATGAAGCACCCTTGGGTTCAGTCCCCAGAACCACACACATATTAAAAATAGGCATGCCATTAAAGTGAATGATGCAGGGGCATTTAGAACATTCAGTTTGGGCAGCCAGCATCCCTGTGTACTTCCAGAGCTGCTTCATCTTCCCAAATGGGAACTTGGTACCTTGTGCCCACCATTCCCTCACCAGCTCCTGCCCGCCACCATCTGCTGTCTTCTTCACAGAAGTGACTCTCCAGTCCACACCCATGGAAGCTCATAGTGTGTGGCCGGTTGCATCTGGCTTCTTTCACTTGGCAACATGCCTGGGCAGACTTTTCAAAGAGCAGTTGAGTTTGTCCTGACTCTTCCCACATGACCATGTTCATGACATTTGCTTTTCTCTGTGTGCATGTATAAGGGAAAGGTTAACCCTGAACCTAGGTCCTCACGCATGCCAAGCACACACTACCCCTGAGCTCCACCCCTGGCCCTTAGTGTATTTCAAACACAAGTGGCTCTGTCAGGAGGGGGTTACTGCCCCACTCTGAGGGGACTGGGAGCCAAGGGACAGAAGGCTTCCTTTCCAACCACCATCTAGGAGGATCCAAACTTAAGCCTTGGGCCTCTCAAGCAGCTACCCTCGGACTCCATTTATAACAGCGAGGACAAACACGGAGGGTAAAGGAAAGTGCAGGAGAGGCCAGGACACAGGCCCTGCTCCTTACCCAGAGCGCAGTGCATTGTGGACTGACTTCCCACCACACCCCTTCCCAGCCTGTGGCCTTAGACACGTGGCTCTGCCTCAGTGTCCTCATCTGCAGATGGGGCAGTTCCCACCTAGCAGACTGCTGGGATCTGATGGAACAGTGCTGTGCAGATGGGCGCGGAGGTGCTCAGCAGGAGTGTGGAAGGCGCCTACAGTTGCATTGAGGTTGTACAGCGTGTGCTTTAAGTGAAGCCCCTGCAGCCGTGCCCCGGCAGGAGTGGATTTTGTTTTTATTGAGGCCTAGCTCAGTTAAGCTGGTTAAGAACATGCAAGGCTCCAGGAAGCCCTCCAGACTTGGTGGCATCCATCAGGTTTATCAACCAACAACACTCCTGTCACCTCCTGACAGATTGACCTCATTGATGGCAAAGGCAGGGGCGTGATCGCCACCAAGCAGTTCTCCCGGGGCGACTTTGTGGTGGAGTACCACGGCGACCTTATCGAGATCACTGACGCCAAGAAGCGAGAGGCTCTGTATGCACAAGACCCCTCTACGGGCTGCTACATGTATTATTTTCAGTATCTGAGCAAAACCTACTGGTAAGTGCACTATTTGAGTGACTTTCCCACCTTCTGGGCACAGAGGACGACCACAGGGCCAGGAACTGTGGAGGACTCCCTGTGCATTGGTTGGGCTGGCCCTGCAGTGCTTGCTATCTGTATCCAACTGTGATGCAGTGCTGCCTGTTTTTAATATTTGAGATTGGAGACATCCTAGAGGCCATTTCATCTGGCCAGGAGCAGAGGTGTCACATAGAAACCTGCTGGCAGCTCCCCCGACCTCTCCTTGGGGCACCTTGCTGGAGGGCCACACTCTCCTATGCCCAATGGGGCTGATTTTTATTCATTTATTTATTTTGCAAACTCTGCAGCTACCTCTGGTGCCTCCATAAAGAGCCATTTGGATTCTACCCCTAAGCCCCCACCCAGGGCTACTCCAGGCTCTCAAAAGTCACTTTTTTAATTGAATTGCCCAAAATGTGGCTCTAGATTGAGATACCACCAGAGCGGAGCTGGCGCAGCTCTGCCGGATCAAAAGCCTCTTTATCACTTTGATGCCCTCTTGCCCCCCTCCCACCAGCGTGGACGCCACCAGAGAGACAAACCGCCTGGGAAGGCTGATCAATCACAGCAAGTGCGGGAACTGCCAGACGAAGCTGCACGACATCGATGGCGTGCCTCACCTCATCCTCATTGCCTCCCGCGACATCGCGGCTGGGGAGGAGCTGCTGTACGACTACGGGGACCGCAGCAGGGCCTCCATCGAGGCCTACCCGTGGCTGAAGCATTGACGCCATCGGCCTCCTCACCCGCCTCCCTTCTTCAAAGGACAAAGTGCCCTCAAAGGGAAATGATTTTTTTTTACACACTTAATCTTAGCGGAGTACTTCAGATCTTTTTAAAAAGTATATTAAGATGCCTTTTCACTGTAGTATTTAAATATCTGTTACAGGTTTCCAAGGTGGACTTGAACAGATGGCCTTATATTACCAAAACTTTTATATTCTAGTTGTTTTTGTACCTTTTTTGCATACAAGTTGAACGTTTGTGCTTCCCGTGCATGCAGTCAAAGACTCGGCACAGGTTTTAGAGGAAAGAGTCAAACATGAACTAGGAAGCTGGGGGGTCTCCTGCCTCCAGGTGAAGAGCCGGGCCTGCCCGCACACCCCGACGTCCCAGGATGGGTGGGTGTGAGGGCGCCGCTGCCTCCCAGGCCTGGGCGGGATGTCTCCAAGCTCTTGTCTCCTCACGTCTCGACAGGTGCACCTTGAAGTATATGAAATATTTTTTAAAGGGTTTCGCAGTAAGCTAGTCTTCCCCTCTGCTTTCTTGAAAGCTTACTGGCCTGGGGCCGGGGAGTGCTGCCGGGCCTAGACTTTCTCTTCCACGGGCTGCCGCTTTTCCGGGCACCTTGAAGCATCAGGGTGGGTAGTCACCCTAGAGGCAGGCAGGGACAGCTCCCTGCACCTGCCAGGGCAGGGCTTCCTGAAACTGGGTTAATTCTTTATAGAAATGTGAACACTGAGTTTATTTTAAAAAAATAATAGTAAAAATTTAAAAAAAAAAGTCAAAAAAAAGAAAAAAGGAAAAAAACCCACAGAGAACAACTTACATGTATATAGGTCTTGAAGTGAGTGAAGTGGTTGCGATTTCTTTTATTTTGGGGTTTTTTGTTTTTGTAGAAGAGATTTGAGATGGTACTCTATTCTAATCAAAAATAAAGTTTTGTAGCGGGACCAGAAATTATTTCCCCGATCCCCTCACCCACCTGCCCAGTTCTGCTGGGTTGAAAGTTCCAGATCTGCTGTGAGGCCTTCTGTTGTCAGACCACCTGGTGTCCTTCCTGTGAAGCGCAGCCATAACCTGAATTGTGAGCCTAGAGCTCAGGATCCCGCCCAGCTGTCTCCACCAGCCTCAAAGAAAGGCATCTGGTGCACATGGAGCGGGCAGGGCCCTTAGCCAGGGAGCAAGGACAAGGCTCAGTTCTCAGCTTGAATGTGATACCAGGAGGAGTAGCTGGCTTCCTCTTCCCTCCCCAGGGGTCTGATTCTCACTCACTGTCCACCTTCTGTCCATGGGGCTGGGGCTCCTGTCCACCCTGGTCCCAGGTAAATGTGAATGGAGACAGGTGTGAGAACCTGTCCTCATCCTTACCCCATCCTGGGCCTCATGACGGTGCTACCTAAGAGAGTCTTCCCCCCATCCCCACTAGCCTGGTCAGTGGTCAGCAAATTGGAGGAGGATCCGGCAGGAGTCTTTAAATGTGAGATAAAATGTCTTGGTTGTACCTGTTTGTGGTTTAGCTTTGTATTTAAGCAAACAAACAAAAAAAGGAAATAAACTTGAAAATTATTTGTCATCATAAAAATGAAACAAAAATTAAAATATTTATTGCCAGGCAAGGCCAACTATGTGTCTTTCTCTTTTTATAAGGTAGAAGTAGAAATACGTAGGGTTTTAGAACCAGCTTTGGGGATTGTCCTAGGAATCCATACAGTCTTGCTGATACAATTTTGAGCAATCCAAACTCTTCAGTTTCCTCACTTGAGTTAAGGGGTCAGGAGTCATAGGGCACTTGTGAAGATGAGAAGTTTTAATGCATGCTGGCCCTCGGACAAGGTCTGGCATGTAGTAAGCACCATGAATTTTATTTATTTTATTTTTTTGAGAGAATTTTTAATATTTTTCAGTTTTTCGGCAGACACAACATCTTTGTATGTGGTGCTGAGGATCGAACCCGGGCCGCACACATGCCAGGCGAGCGTGCTACCGCTTGAGCCACATCCCAAGCCCCACCATGAATTTTAGATGCTATAATTGGTTAGATCCAGTTCTCAGGTGGCTAAGTACCATCCACCCAGGCCTATCTTGTGCTGGAGATCCTCCTTCCAGGCTCTCAGTCCCCACTACACATCCCACTGCCCTCCTTCCGTTCATTCCCTCAATCCCAGTACTTGAGCACTGAGTAGATTGTGACTGAGGATTTGAGAGATGTATCATCAGCTTAAGTGTTGTCAGTCCTATGACCTTGGACACAGATCACTTCCCCCCTGAAACCTGTCCATCAGGTTCACCTGCCTTGTAGGGGTGCCCTGAGGACTAAGTCACAAGTGTTACTATTTATCTTGGAGGGGACTGTGGCCTGGTGGTGGGGTAGGAACTGGAGCTCCTAAGTAAGTCAAGTTTCCTCCTGCATGGCATGGAGAGATGTACTGACATGGGCAAACGTGATGATTTGGTGAGTTAATATGTAAAAAGCACTTGGACTAGTGCTTTGCACATGGATAATTCTCAGTAATCACTGTTAGCTATTAACAGGATTCAAAATTGGTGTTTTGGGCTGGGGACATAGCTCAGTTGGTAGAGTGCTTGCCTTGCATGCACAAGGCCCTGGGTTCAATCCCCAGTACCACACACACACACAAAAAAAAGTATTTTACAAGTGCTCAGGACTGATGGCTAATTAGTGCCTCCAAGTTTCTGATCTTTGATTGTATTTTATTTTTTTGCAGTACTGGAGATTTAACCTAGGCCCTTCTGCATGCTAGGCAAGTGCTCCTCCACTGAGCAACAGCCCCAGCCCTTTTTCAATTTTTATTTTATTATTTTACTTCTTGGTACTGGGATTGAATTCAGGGGCACTCAACCATTGAGCCACATCCTCAAACCATTTTTGTATTTTATTTAAAGACAAGGTCTCACGGAGTTACTTAGGGCTTCACTAAATTGCTGAGGCTGGCTTTGAACTCACAATTCTCTTGCTTCAAGCCTCCTGAGTCGCTGGGATTACAGATGTGTGCCACAGTGCCTGTCTAAAATTTTATTTTGAGGCAGGATCTTGCTCAGGAAGGTGTCCAGGTGGGCCTCAACCTTGTGATGCTCCTGCCTTAGCCTCCTGAGTTGTTGGGATCACGAGTGAACACCACTGAGCTTAGCTGAACTTCATTTTTAAAAGATGATTATTGCTGTAACCATTTCTGGTGCCTTTTGAGTCAGGGCTCAAACACCAGCTTCTAAGCCTGCCCCTCCCTGGGACCATGCTGGTTGGAAGCCAGTGTTGTGGGAGCTTTAGAGCCCAGGGATGTGGCAGCTCTCATCTATGGTTACTCAGAACCCGCCTCTGGGAGAAAAGCTCCCAGGATGCATCTTCCAGGATGCCCACACCCCAGCCAGGGATGACCAGGGGCTGCGCTCCAAGCATTCCTTATGACTTCCATGAGTCTCTCCCAGGGAGCCAGAGTCCCCAGGGTCATCTCAACATGACATTGCTTTTGGAGGGGGCTCTTGCCATCTGTCCCCATGAGGGAGAAAGTAGGAGAGCATTTAGACAAGGGAACCCCATGTCTCAAGATGCAGGTGTTACAGAAATGGCTGATCAACAGCAACACACCCACCTCATGGGCTTATGAGGACACAATATAGGTGAGATATCTAAGAGGGAACTGAGCAAGGCATGTGGGAAACTTTGGTCACTAATATTAGCACTTATCGAAGATCTGCACCAAGAACCAGGCCCCAGGATTAGGTCTGCCTTTGTACCCCCGGCAGCCACTTCCCTGTGTGACCTTGTGAAAGGCACGTATGAACATGAGCTGCCTCAAGTCCTTCCTGCCCCCTGCCCACCTCCCCACCACCTGTATTGGTGATTGATCCCAGGGGCACATGATTGCTGAGCCACAGCCCAGCCTTTTATTGCTTTTATTTTTTAAATATTTTATTAGTTGTTGATGAACCTTTATTTATGAGGTGCTGAGAGTCGAACCCAGTGCCTCACACATGCTAGGGAAGCAATCTACCACTAAGCCACAACCCCACCCTCAGGGCACTTATTTATTTATTTATTTATTTATTTATGGTGGTGCTGGGAATTGAACCCAGGGCCTCATGCATAAAAGGCAGGCACTCTACCAACTGAGCTATATCCCTGGCCCACCTTTTTTAAATTTTTTATTTTTTTGAAACAGGGTCTTGCTAAGATGCCAGGCTGGGCCTCAGCTTCCTGAGTCACTGGGATTACAAGTGTGATTCACCACATACAGTTTCCAGAATTGTTATGAAGAACAATCAGGTAATCCATGGTAAGTTAGTGTCACCTACCAAGAAGACAGACCCCTGGGACATGTTCAGCATGTAAAGTGTGGCCACCTGCACTCTCTGTGGTGCATGTCATAGATTCCTAAATGCCCATTTGTTTTTCACATTTTAACATCTTAAGAAATCAAGATGAGACTTAAAATTAATAGCCTCTTAAAATAATAATTGCAGCCAGGTATGGTGGCACTCACCTGAAATCCCAGCAACATGGGAAGTTGAAGCAGGAGGATGCCTGGGCAATTTAGTGAGACCCTTCTCAAAAAGGGATGGGAGCTGAGGATGTTGCTTATTGGTAGAGGGCTGCTGGGTTCAATCCCCAGTACCCCCCTCAAAAAATATATGTATATATATATATTTATACACACACATACACACACACACACACACACACACCTACACACAGACACATACAGGCTGTATACACCACCTTAATTCTACCTTAATTCACTGTAAAATAGCTATAGAAAATATAAATGCCTCCTAGCAGATCAGGAGACTGAGGCAGGAGGATCACAATTTTGAGGCTAGCTTCAGCAACTTAGCGAGGCCCTGAGCAACTTAGTAAGACCCCATCTCAAAATAAAAAATATACAGGCTGGGGACTGTGGCTCAGTAGCTAAGCACCCCTGGGTTCAATCCCCAATAATGAAGGGAAGAAAGAAGAAGAAAAATAAGGAAGTACAAAAATCATTTAACTTTAATACAAAATTATGTAAAGGAAGTCACAGGAGCTAAATCGAATATTCGCCAAGTGCCAATGAAGAAGGCACTGGGAAGTCAGTACCACGTGCTCCTCCTTTCTCCCCCACCTTGCCACCTTCAAAGGCCTGGGGCATTGGTGGGACCGGAGGTGTCCGCACACTGGAGGCCTCTCCCGGCCCTAGAGGCAGGAGGTGGCTCTATCTCACACCCCTTCTGCTTTCTGGATTTCTTGGGGCCCGTCGCCGGCCCTGGCCAGAAGTTCCAGGGTGTCCAGTTCTGTGGCCGTGAGAAGGTGAGCCTGCGACAACCTCCGCTCCTTCCTCGGAAGCAAAAGAGCAAAAACAGTTTGGATGCTGTCAAGTCTGAGGTCAGAGGTCACGGCTTTGATCTAGGTCGGCTTCCCAGACCGGAAGGAGAACCTGGGTGGAGAGAGGGGCAGAGTGAGCAGACTCAAACATTTACTCAGGCTTCTTATGGGTCAAACCCTATTCCGGGTGTTCCGTCCATCAGCCCAAGTCACATTCTCAGCAATTCTGCTGTCACACAATTAATATCTTTGTTTCATAGTGGAGCAAACTGAGGTCCCATGAGGCTAAGGATCAGGCCCCATTTCACACAGTGGGCTGTGCAACCAGGAGTTGGGTCCAGATTCACATTGTCACTGTGCCACCCTGACAGATGGTGAATGGCACTTTTTTTTTTTTGGTACTGGGGATTGAACCCAGGAGCAGTTAACACCTGAGCCACATACTTAGTTCTTTTTAATATTCTATTTACTTTCTTTTTTTGGGAGGGGTACTGGGGGTTGAACTCAGGAGCACTCCCCACTGAGCCCCATCCCCAGCCCTATTTTGTATTTTATTTAGAGACAGGGTCTCACTGAGTTGTTTAGTACCTCGCTAAATTGTTGAGGCTGGCTTTGAACTTGTGATCCTTCTGCCTCAGCCTCTCAAGTCACTACGATTAAAGGCATGCGCCATTTTTTTTTTAAGTTTTGTGATAAAGGTAAAGATCACTTTTCTTTTTTAAGAGAGAGAGAGAGGGAATTTTTTTTAATATTTATTTTTTAGTTTTCGGCGGACACAACATCTTTATTTGTATGTGGTGCTGAGGATCGAACCCAGCGACGCTCGAATGCCAGGCGAGTGCGCTACCGCTTGAGCCACATCCCCAGCCCAAAAATATCACTTTTCAATGTTAACCTACAATTATAAAACAGACCTGTGCAATGAATAACACATGGAGTCCCAGGTAGAACAGACAAAACCTATAAAGTTCTCCCCAGAGCCAAGAACAACAAATTTAGGTGACCTCTCCCTCACAAAGAGCTTATAACAATGTTGGGCTGGTCACAAAGTACAACCTGGACAGAGAGGCCAGGACATGCGGGGCCAACATTGGGTGTTGGGCCGAGTCGTGTCCTAAGGGCCAGCCCCTGATCCCCCCAGCAGCCTATCCCCACATGTGGATGCTGGTATCACAGCTGTGCCAGGCCATCTTCCCCTGAACCAGTAACATGCTCCCCACCCTGTCACTCCTCCCGTCTCAGGAAACGACACCCCCACCTCCAAGTCATTCATGCCAGAGGCCTGGCAGGCATCCTTGGCCAGCC